GATAGTGTAATATTGTAAGACACCATTCATAAGTGAAATCAAGGATTAAGGTCACTCACATTCAATTAAATTATAAAAGGCATATTTATTAGGATCAGCTTCTTCCAGATAAACAGTAGATGCAAGGCAACCTCCCACGGAATCTCACATCACAGCTCCAGGTTTCAGCAGAAGCTCTAAAGAGACACCGCATATACAGATCCCAAAAGATGGCCGCTGGAACGCACCGCTCAGCGTGCGCTCCACTCACCGGAAGTGACGTCAGACGTACGGAGTACAAACCGGAAATGCGTCAACGCGTTTCGCCCCTCCCATCGGGCGTTCTCAAGACGTTCATTTCCTGTCTGAAGCTCCCTTATATACCCAGCAGAGACCCACCCCTCCGTTTCAATTGGTCAAAACTCTTCCCCGGGATGATCAAACAAACCACTCCTCCTGTAACGTGACGTGAGAGTCCCTTACAGATGAGGTAAATGCCTATACAATTAAAAATATTTATATTTAAAAATATTTTTTAATGTTATTCCTGACACTATTAAATTATCTCCCAAAATTATTTTTATTTTTATTTTTATTTTTATATTTATTTTTTTTTTATTTATTTATTTTTATATTTATTTTTATTTTTATTCTTTATTTTTATTTTTATTTTTATTTATATTTGTTTTCATTTTATTTTTATTATTTTTTTATTTATTTTTATTTTTATTTTTATTTTATTTCATTTTTATTTTTATTTTTATTTTCATTTTTATTTTCATTTTATATTTTTTTGATTTATATTTATTTTCATTTTTATACTATTTAGTATTCATTGCTCATATATTAAAGAAAGTTTTTTGTAATAGTGAGGCATTGTTTAATACTTTGTTCGTGTTTTTCCCACTGGGGACATGTGGTAATATACATGTCGCTTTTGGGAGATAATTTAATAGTGTCAGGAATAACATTAAAAAATATTTTTAATTGTATAGGCATTTACCTCATCTGTAAGGGACTCTCACGTCACGTTACAGGAGGAGTGGTTTGTTTGATCATCCCGGGGAAGAGTTTTGACCAATTGAAACGGAGGGGTGGGGTCTCTGCTGGGTATATAAGGGAGCTTCAGACAGGAAATGAACGTCTTGAGAACGCCCGATGGGAGGGGCGAAACGCGTTGACGCATTTCCGGTTTGTACTCCGTACGTCTGACGTCACTTCCGGTGAGTGGAGCGCACGCTGAGCGGTGCGTTCCAGCGGCCATCTTTTGGGATCTGTATATGCGGTGTCTCTTTAGAGCTTCTGCTGAAACCTGGAGCTGTGATGTGAGATTCCGTGGGAGGTTGCCTTGCATCTACTGTTTATCTGGAAGAAGCTGATCCTAATAAATATGCCTTTTATAATTTAATTGAATGTGAGTGACCTTAATCCTTGATTTCACTTATGAATGGTGTCTTACAATATTACACTATCTGAGATTTTTTTCTCCCTGGTCGGATGGTGGAGCCTATGGTGGAGAGGAGGATTCCTATAGAGTGGATACGAAAGAGGGTGTAGGATCCCATAAAATTCCTAAGAGGCGTTTTTTTTCACCTTTATCTGGTGAGTGCATTTGATATTGGTTTTCACGGGTGGAAGGTGGAAGTTCCTCTATATTAGAAGAAGAATTTGAAAATATTTTTTCTTTTTTCTTTTTTGCACTAATATTTTTTGAACTTTGGTTTATTTTTGATGGACTTTACCACTGATCAATTTTTCACTTATGTTTGCACTTTGTAATATTGATTTCATGTAAAGGTCTATGTTTGCGCTGTTTTTTCCTAGTTTTGTAACATGCCAACAGATGGAAGCACAATGCTGGACTCACAGTCACAGGGAGCACCAACCTTCATATGTCAGTGTGCCAAAAGACATCATCCTGTGTATATCGGGAGCTGTGCAACTGGTGCTATTATGACCATGTGTGTTACCACGCCTGCTATTTCATCATGGACAGCAAGTTAGAACAAAGAGGGAACTTGACATTCTGTGTGAAACTGGATGAGTCTGCCACAGAGACGTTTGACAATGAGTTGCTCGCACACGCGCTTCAAGAGCAGAAGAACATCACTGGAAGATGACGAAAGATCAGGAAGACCTTCAATGAGCTCAACCCCACAAAAAATGTTGAAACCATTCAGCAACTTGTGCATGATGATCATCAGAGAACAATCCACAACATTGCTGCCATTGTCGGTATGTCATACAGAACAGTCCAGGCAATCTTCATGTGTGATGTGAACATGCCCCATGTTGCTGCCAAGTTCGTCCCCAGGCTGCTGATCTAGGAGCAGAAGGAACACCACGTCAAAGTCTGCCAAGAAGTCAGCATGCCGTGGATGACCTAACCTTCATATCGAGGATCATTACTGGTGATGAAACTTGGGTGTACGGGTTTCATGCAGAATTCCACATTTGCACATTGTTCTAACTTGCTGTCCATGATGAAACAGCAGACGTGATAACGCACGTGGTCAGAATAACACCAGTTGCACAGCTCCCGACATACACAGGATGATGTCTTTTGGCACACTGACTGATGAAGGTTGCTGCTCCCTATGACTGTGTGTGCAGCCTTGTACTGCCATCTGTTGGTGTGTTATAAAACTTGAAACTTTTTGATACCAACTCATAGAAATTTAGAGGGGTTTAGAGACAGAAAAAAATCCCACCGCCAGAACGTCCAGAAGCAGTGGCATTTTGGCAGATAAAAAAACACTCTGAGTGTAAATGCATCTAACCACTAGGCCACATTTAGTGCTTGAGCGTATATTCATTTCAGTGGTCAGAATACATTTTTATTCTGGCCAATGAAATGAATTAACAGCCAAGGGGTTGATGTGCCTAAATGCACATATACTTGTTACACATATCTACAAGCATTCTTCTGCCCAGGGGCGGACTGACCATTTGGAAACTTGGGCATTGCCCGAGGGCCTGAGGTCAGTATGGGGCCCCATGAGGTGCCTCTGGTACCTTTTTCATAGGCTTTTTTGAGTTTGGGCAAGGACACAAGGGCCCCATGATCCCCTATTGCCCGGGGGCCCCATGAGTTGTCAATCCGCCCCTGCTTCTGCCAAAGATTGCTGCCAGGAGGAAAGGCATCTAGGAGAGGTAACAAAACTTTCAGTGTGTATGAGGCCTTAGAGGATCAAAGTGTTGCAGAAATGTGATGATTTTAGGGAGTACAAAACCAGAGGTTCCAGAGAATGGAAAACAAGATGATCATTTTTAATATTTGATATATTGGGTAATAATACATTTATTAGCCTATAAGACCAATTCTAAAATGCAGTCAAATGTGTTTTTGCTTAGTTTTTTTACATTTTGATCACCTTTACCTGGTTAAAGGTGTAACCTTCCCACGATGGAGGCTAAGGTGTACTTTTATAAAACAGATCAGTGGTGATCCTGAGGATCGTTGCTGATCTCCGATCAGTAGTGGTTTAGGAAACAGAGATGATCGGTGGAGAACATGTTCTCTGCTGATCATCTCAGTACACAGATGGCCAGTATATGAAGGAGCGATGTCCGCCCTTCACTGGAGATCTGTGTTCTCTCTCCAGATTCTCCAGCCCAGAGCTGGAGAATTGGAGGAACCGCAAACTAAGCAGCGATAATTTACAGCTGCTTAGTGTATGGTGTTTGACTGATTTCTTACTTGGATCTCGTGAGATTATAGTCACAGTAGCCGTTTTCCAGCGTTTGTAGATCGTTCTCCCTTCATACGGAGAACTGATCTACACCGCTTCATAAAAAGGCATTCAGAGGAGAACTGTCTGCTCTGAGAATTCCGGAGAACTGAGCAGCGGTCATTTACCACTGTATGATAAAAGGACACCTAATTCCCAGTTGTGAATTTCATCTCCATATTTCCAAGCCAAGAGATAATTGAAATAATCATCATACGAATTCCTGTACATGTATGCATATTTGCGTACCTGTCTTTGTGCTGGGAGCCTGCCGCATGGCGTACTCCCAGAACAAAGACCGCGGTGTCACTGAGAGCACCGGGTCCCATTCTAACGATTGGGACCTGGGACTCCCGATTCTGAATCACATGATCGCTGTGATAGCCCCTGATCGCCTATCACAATGATCAGTCACTGTATAGCCCACCCCCTTATATTTTTCTCTCTCTATGAATGGAGGAGAGAGATACATTTTATCTCTCTAACTACTGGCATAGAGGGGGGAAAAATTGTTTGTTAAAAAAAAAAAAATGTATATATATATATTAAAAAAATAAAATAAAAAAATACCTAGATCAAGGTTTGATCTAGTTCAGTGCTAGGGTTAGTGTTTGGGTCAAGGTCAGGGTCAAAGGTCAAGGTCAGGGTCAAAGGTCAGGATTTAAAAATAAAAATTTGGTGTCAGTGTGTTTTAGGTGAAAAAGGACAAAAACAAAATGCTCATTGTTGTTTCTGGGCTGTACTACGGGTACAAACAACAAATAACATACACATATATGGTATCGCTGCGATCGTCAAGAGCTGGAGAATTTGTTCTTTGATGGTAGGTTATGGTAGTAACAAGAAACACACAGATAAATAAAAAAAATATTTTTTTTTACTATTTTGGGCCAGTTTTCCTTTGATATAAAAAATCAGGAGACATCCATTACCATTTACCATCAAATGAAAGCCCAATTTGTCCTTAAAAAAACGCAGTATAATTCACCCGTATGTACAAAGTAGTTGTGATGATATTTACAGTTCTACTAACACGTGTCAACGTTGCAAATTTGTGCTTAGGCTTTACGATTTGTTTTACCCTTAGACGTGAAGGGGTTAATGTAGGAATACCCCATGGAAAGCAACACATCTGTGCTAGAATTCTATATTTTGCCATTCTTCATGAAGGCTGACAAAAACCTTTTCACATTCAACATTTTCTTTTTTTTCTCAATCTATTTGATTGGAATTCTGATAAACCTCATTATCATCGCAGTGATATGTCTGGATCAACATTTGCACACCCCGATGTATCTATTTCTCTGCAACTTGTCCATTATTGATATGTGTTACACAACTGCCAATATTCCAAAACTCCTCTACATCTTATTGTCTGGGAATAACTCCATATCCTTCACTCAATGCTTTATCCAGATGTATTTTATTTTTATGTCAGGCATTACTGAGAACACACTTATATTTATAATGGCGTATGATCGATGCGTTGCAATTTGTCACCCTTTATACTATCACCTTATACTTAACAAGAAAATCTGTCTATTATTAATGATGGTCAGCTGGATGAGTGGTTGTTTAAATTCATCTTTACTGACAAGTTCCATCTTAAAAATGATTTTCTGTTCTTCTCTTACCATTCACCAGTTCTTCTGTGATGCTAAAGCGCTCATCAATATTGCCTGCGTTGGTACTGATATGTTTTATATCATCATGTATATAGAGTTTTTATTATTTGGACTCTGTCCAGTTATGTGCAACTTGATGACATATCTAAAGATTATCAGGGTCATACTACATATTAAATCTAAGGATAGCAGAGGAAAAGCCTTCTCCACCTGTTCATCCCACCTCACTGTTATGGCCATCTACTATGGATCTGGTGCATCTGTATACATGATACCACCATCAGACCTCTATGAACAGATCTTAACCATTTTCTACACCACAGTGGTCCCCGTGTTGAACCCTCTCATATACAGTCTACGGAACAAAGACTTTAAAAATTCTTTGTGGAAATTGTTGTCATAATACTAATACGACAATGTCTACTACAAGCCCTGAGTTTTTTTGTTTATGTTTGTATTTTTCAGTTGTTGTTCATGTCGGTAGCAGTACCTTGACATATCAAGAGACCTTCACTTTGGCTAGTGCCAAAAAAATCTCCCCCACACCATGACACCACCACCACCAGTCTGAACCGTTGATACAAGGCAGGATGGATCCACCACACCATGACACCACCACCACCAGCCTGAGCCGTTGATACAAGGAAGGATGGATCCACCACACCATGACACCACCACCAGTCTGAACCGTTGATACAAGGCAGGATGGATCCACCACACCATGACACCACCACCACCAGTCTGAACTGTTGATACAAGGCAGGATGGATCCACAACACCATGACACCACCACCACCAGTCTGAACCATTGACACAAGGCAGGATGGATCCATGCTTTCATGTTGTTTACGTCAAATTCTGACTCTACCATGTGAATGTCGCAGCAACCAGTCTGCCCATTCTCTTCTGACATCTACAAAGCATTTTCCTCGACACAACTGCCGCTCACTGGATATTTTCTCTTTTTCGGACCATTCTCTGTAAACCCTAGAGATGGTTGTGTGTGAAAATCTCAATAGATCAGCCATTTTTAAAAAAGTCAGACCAGCCTGTCAACCATGCCACATTCAAAGTCACTTAAATTCCCTTTCTTCCCCATTCTGATGCTCATTTTCAACTTCAGCAAGTCCTCTTTACTATGTCTAGATGCCTAAATGCATTGAGTTGTTGCCATGTGATTAGCTGATTAGCAATTTGTGTTACCAAGCACATGAACAGGTGTACCTAATAAGGTGGTCGGTAAATGTATGTCTTCCATGAAATAAAGTACAACCTGAGCTACCAACATTGCAATCATATATGCTCTATATTCATGTTTCCAACGTCTGCACATTGGATTAGTGTGTGGAAGATTTACAGACTTTGTCAGCTCTAGTAGTATTTAGCAATGTTTAGTTCCAAGGCTTTTGAGTTATAATGAGTTCTTTTAATGAATGCAAAAGTTACTTGAATAAATAATGAAACCTCTTTAACATTACAGAAGTAGTCCAGTTGACTTTTTACTAGTAGCCAATGCATACCTTGATATTGCTGGGGTTATCTTTTCAGTATGGACACCTGTTCTGGTGATATCAGGAACTAGAGCACTTGTTGGGGGCACTGTGGTCTCCAGACTTGAATGGCATTGATACAGTGTCCACCAATGGATGTTGCCCAGAAGTTAGCAGGTTCTACCAATTGGTCACCATTTGATGATGGATGGGTTGTTACCGCCACCTAAAGCCGGCCATACAGGGGTCAAATTCCGAAAAAAATTTCCTTCCAAAATCTTTTCTAAGAATTTTTGTTCAAATTTTGCACCATTAGTGGTCCAGAGCAACAGCCGATTTTCAAGCGACCATCAAATTTGATGGTCATTGATTTTTAATCAATGGAAGAATCGTGTGAGAAATGTAATTGAAAAAAAAAAGAGAATGAGCTGTGACCTGGAAAGAAAACAAAATTCTTGACCACGAAAATCCTTTTTTCTGTAGCAACGTGACATGAAATTAAAGGCTTGGATGGTCAAATTTCTTTATCAATGATGGCACCATCAGATTACAAAATGAATATAACTTCCAATTTTTCTAAAGAAAATTTGTTCGGAATTCGACCCATGTATGGCCTGCATTAGGATTCACATAGGGGTTTATTTACTAAGTCTAGGTTCACACCTATGCGTTTTCCGCTGTGTTTTGCAGAAATGCACATCAGTCCATTTAACATGATTTCTTATGGGACAGGCTCACATATGGGACAGGTTTTCACCCATCTGTAATCCATACTAGATGAATTGATATGTAAGGCATTGCTAATTTTCCCCATAAGGTCTACCTGTGGTCATGGAATTGTATGTCTATTTCATCAGAAATTACAAAGAAAGAAGAGGGAGATAACAGACACAGGGTAAGACTTGAGGGGTTGGTTAACATTCTGTATGAGCTGGTGGTCAGACTTGACTAGTAAATGGGTTTGTCCGGTTTTGGAATTAACCATTAGCCGCCCGGCCAATGGCCGTTTGGCAGCTTCAAATGTGCTCCTGTATTCATTTGGCGTGCTCCCGCACATGCGTGGTTTGCGCGGTTGCAGAGCGACGCAGCAGTGCGATCTGTCAGCGGCCGTGCATCTCGGACACGGCCGATGACAGATCCGAGTACCGGCTCCCGTTGCCGGTACCATGTGACCTGCTGTGACCAATCACAGCAGGTCACATGACAGCTGTATACAATGGATGGCTTCATTCATGATGCCATCCATTGTATACTAGTGCCTAGCTGTGAATGGTCACAGCTAATCACATGCACATGTCATGTGATTAGCTGTGACCAAATCACAGCTAAGCACAAAAAAAAAAAACTGAATGAATCGATTTCATTCAGGTAAATGCTTGCTTATAGCAAAGTAATTCTTTGCTATAAGCAAATTGTGTAAAAAAAAAAAAAAAAAAAAAATACTGATCACTTCCCCAAAGTAGTACAATGTTACTATGGTAACATTGTACTACTTTGGTCATAGTAAAATATGAAAAAAAATCTTAAAAAAAAAAAAAAAATGTAATAAAAAATTAAATATAATAAAAAAAAAAAAAAAAAATTAAAAAAAAAAATATATATATATTTTTTTTTCATACTGTCACCAGTCAGTGTCGCTGTTCACCGCCATGCCAGTTATATGATGACGCTGTACTGCACTGGTGACAGTATGTAAAAAAAAAAATAGTGAAAATAATTTTTTTAATTTTTTCATTTTCCGAAAAATTATGACAAAAAATACAACTTCAAAAAACTCGCCATTCCTCTTATGAAGTACGTCGGACTGTCTACTCTGCAAAAAGGGGTCATTTGGGGGATATCTGTACTGTTCTGACATTCTTGGACCTCAAGATACTAGATTGGCTGTCAGTACTTCAGGATTGATCAATATTCAGATCTATACCATAGTTTGTGAACTCTATAACTTTCCTACAAACTAAATAATACATCCTAATTTGGGTTATTTTCACCAAAGACATGTAGCAGAATACATCTCGGCCTAAATTTATGAAGAACAATTATTTATTTGTAAACTTTTATAACAGAAACAAAGAAAAATGTGTTTTTTTTTTCAAAATTTTTGGTCTTTTTTTGTTAATTTAGCAAAAAAATAAAAACCCCAGCGGTGATTAAATACCACCAAAAGAAAGCTCTAGTTGTGTGAAGAAAATGATAAAATTTTAGTTTGGGTACAATGTTGTATGACCGCGCAATTGTCATTCAAAGTGTAAGAGCGCTGAAACCTGAAAAATGGCCTGGGCAGGAAGGTGTAAAATTGCCCGGGATTGAAACGGTTAAACACTAAACACTGTATACAGACCAGAGTACTTATACAGCCTGATCATATATTGCCTACCCATCTTTGGATTATTCCAGACAAACTACAGATTTGGAAATTCAAAAACAATTTTTCTACATTGAGGTTTCACAAAATAAATATGATCGTTCTTCAGAGGGTAGGTTTAGTGCAGTGTCACCCTTCTGAAAACTAAAACCTAAACCTTAGTACTACTTAGTAGAAAGATAGATAGATAGATAGATAGATAGATAGATAGATAGATAGATAGATAGACGGACGGACTGATAGACGGACAGACGGACTGATAGACAGACAGACAGAATGATAGACAGACAGAATGATAGATAGATAGATAGATAGATAGATAGATAGATAGATAGATAGATAGATAGACGGAATGATAGATAGATAGATAGATAGATAAATTTACCATAGATTAACCACAGATAGATGGATAGATCGATCGATAGATAGAATAATAGATAGACAGATAGATAGAATGACCATAGATAAATGGATAGATCGATAGAAGATAGATAGATTCATTGACCACAGATAGATAGATATGAATGATAGATAGATAGATAGATAGATAGATAGATATGCAAACCTTAAGAGCGAAAGACACTTTTTAAAAACAATTACAGATAGATAGTCCATAGATAGATAGATTGAATGATAGATAGCTAGATAGATAGATAGAAGATATATAGATAGATAAATAGTCAATAGATAAATAGTTGATAGATTGTCTTTAGATAGATAGATAGATAGATAGATAGATAGATTGACAATAGATATATAGATGGAATGATAGATGAAATGATAGATGGAAAGGTAGATAGATAGATCAATAGAAGGTAGGTAGATAGATAGATAGATAGATAGATAGAATGATTGATAGATAGATAAATAGTCAACAGATTGTCCATAGATAGATAGATAGATAGATAGATAGATAAATAGTCAATAGATAAATAGTCGATAGATAGATTGAATGATAGATAGATAGATAGATAGATAGATAGATAGATAGATAGAATGATTGATTTGATAGATAGATAGATAGATAGATAGATAGATAGATAGATAGATTGTCCATAGATAGATAGATAGATAATAGATAGATAAACAGATAAATAGATTGACAATAGATAGATAGATAGATAGATGGAATGATAGATGGAAAGGTAGATAGAAAGATAGAGATAGATAAATATATTGAATGATAGCTAGATAGATAGACAGATAGATGGAATGATAGATAGATAGATAGATAGATAGATAGATAGATAGATAGATAGATAGACAGATAGATAGATAGATAGATAGACAGACAGACAGACAGATAGATAAATTGACTGACAATAGATATATAGATGGAATGATAGTTGGATAGATAGATAGATAGATAGATAGATAGATAGATAGATAGATAGATAGAATGATTGATAGATAGATAAATAGTCGACGATAGACATAAATAGATTGACAATAGATATATAGATGGAATTATAGTTGGATAGATAGATAGAGAGAGAGAGAGAGAGAGAGAGAGAGAGAGAGATAGATGATAGATAGATAGATAGATAG